AACCCCCCCGCTGCCCACCCAAATTGGGTCAGAACCAAGCCCGGCCAGTGGCGGCGATGTCACGGCAAATATGTCAAACAATCAGCAGAAAAAAAAAAAAAATCAGCATTGTTGAAGGGTGGCAGAGGGGGTAGCTTTGAGGGGTCTCCGCTGAGGCGTGTGCGCTGACAGTCGCCTTGATGTAGAATGTGACTTGGGGAAAAGGCGGGGGCGGGGGGTGTGTGCAGCTTTTGCATTCATCACTGATCACTGGCCATTTCATCAGGTACACCAAATACAAGACAGAACCTCTGACAATGCATTCTGTGACAATGGCTGACATCCCCCCATGCCCCCCCCCCCCCTTGAAAAGCATATTCACATGATCGCCACCAACACTGCAAAAAAGTATAATCAAAGCTTTGGCTGCTCTGGGGATTAAGAGAGAAAAACAGCTCCACTGACCTCAACGCTATTGAGAAGTGGCAGCACATCGTTAAAAGGAACAGCATCTGAGAGTGTGCAAAATTAAAGTCAACGTACTTCAGTCTATTCAAGGTCTGCCTGGAAAATGGAATGTTTTCAGGTCAGTCTATTTTGATCATATCTGTAAAATGTTGTCAACCCAATGAGAATCTGCACAGCAGTCCTAAAAGGAAGACCTTTGACAGTATACTAAGAGAAGGCTGAAGTTTCAGTTTTTTGCTGCAAAATTAAATTTGGAAAAAAAAAAAAAACACACACAATGCCCCCCCCCCGCTAGGTGTGACTTACCGTCCTTCTCCAACCTCTTTCTCTCTACCCTGTTGAGAACCTTAAAATTAAGATTTGTGGGGCTGGATGGCAGTGTGACTCCAAACAGCAAGTTGTTTTTTTTTCCAGGTGATATCCAAGAGGTGCTCCAATGCAAATTTGAACAGAAGAGACGTTTTTGGGTCGACTTTCCTGTTTTTTGGGGGAGGGGGAGAGGGGGGGTTGTCTTGTTTTTTTTTTTGTTTTTTTTTTATAATCGAAATCAGGCCGATTTTTCCACAATCCTTTCTGTTGAGGATGTGAGACCACGAGGTTTGTGTGCCTTTTTGTTGAATCAATTGTCTTCATAACGTTTGTCTTTCATTTGTTATGCCCTTTTTATTGATATATTTCATATCCATGTTTGTGGCCATTTCTCACGGGTTGCCAAAGAATAAACGCTGTATTTTTTGGACTTTGTGTTGTGCTTCATGTTACATCCTGAGGGAGCTACATATGGATCAATATTCTGATTTCTTGGACGTATTATTTGAAATGTTCTGTAAAGCGCTTTGTTCCAGCTGCAGCGGTTGTGAAGGCTCTATATAAATAAAGCTGTATTGTATTGTATTACTTTTGGCGTAGGTCCATGTAGTGGATGCATAATGTAACCGCAGCCACTATTGTAGCTTCTGTTCTTTGCGCCTTGTAATGCGGTGCGCCCTAAATTTGAAAACCGTTTGAAAATAGGCCGTTCATCGAAGGTGCGCATTTTACTCCGAAGGGCCATATAGTCCAAAAAATACGGTAGTTATTCCCTGTAAGTTGCATTGACTATTTTGGAAAACATCCAAATAAATTTGAGTTGAGTATATTGTCCAGGTGGTGTGAATGTGAGAGCAAACGGTTATTTGTAAATATGTGCCCTGTGACACTGCCTCTTGCCTTAAGTCAGCTGGCACAGGCTCCGATTACCCACCACCATAATGAGGACAAGCGCAATAATAATGGATGGGCGGAAGTTTTGTCTCATATCTTCTTAAGCGTGAGCCACGCCCGCTGGATTCATGACAGAAAACGTCAAGAGGCAACAAACAAACATCACAAAGCTCCCTGGGATGCCTTTGGGCGTTGTTCGGGGATTGCAGCATCAGAGCTGCAATGCTTGTAGCCTGAGGTTGTAATGACGACCTAAGACCAAAAAAAAAAAAAAAAAAAGGCCTCCTAATGAATTTAGGCCTCGCAGAATGAATGTAATTACAGCCTTGGAAAGCACACACAGCCACTCGCTCCCTGGCTGTGGTATGCTTTCTGCATGTAGCACAAAACTAATTTGGCTCACAGCGCATTCATAGCAACGATGCTTTTGCATTGTTATTCAACAGGATTAGCGGAAAAACAACAATATGAAACTGCGCCCTTGTGGCATACTGTATGTACGTACAATGGAAGAGTAATTATTTGATACACTGCTGAATTTAGAAGTTCATTTTCCTGATTTGGAAAGTGGAAGAAACAAAACGATTATGAATTGTCCCCCGTCTGAACTTGATATGACATCTTTCCTTGTGAAGTGAGATTATACAAAATCCACTAAATCCCCAAACAGCTACCTTCAAATTGTCATAATCTCTTCCCCTCCACATGTGTCTTTTTTCCACTCTCGTGCGTTCATCTAAGCCTCAATTTGTCACGCCGCAGCGACAGGCGTGAGGCGGTGGTGCCGAACACGATGCTGGTGCCTGAGAGCCTGAAATAAAGGCGAGATGACAAGCGGGTGCAGATGCGTCATCGCTTCCTTCGAAACACTGGCAACATAATAAAAGAGAGAGAGAGAGAGAGAGAGAGAGAGAGAGAGAGAGAGAGAGAGAGAGAGAGAGAGAGAGAGAGAAAAGGAGCGCGAGGCAATGACGCCGAAGCTCTGTAGTCGTTCCGGAGGTTTCTCCCCGAGCCTTGGGCTAACAATGCTATGTGTTGCAAAGCTAAAAGGGCAATGGGCGGGCAAAAACAAGGCCGGGGCCATTTTGCTGTTCCTGACATACAAAATCTTAACAGAAGGGTTGAATTTGGCTAGCTTAAACCACTGAACAGAGATCTGTGAGTAGTAATCCACTAAATATTGATTAAAATGGTTGGAAACTAATAAGCTCATGTCACATTCAGCGCGCTTCCAGCACGAAAGTGTAGTGAGATGGGGGAAATGCTAACATGCTAACAGTTGGTACTTGAACTTGTAACAAACCAGTGTTAAGGTATATGATTAAGGATTTTTTTTTCACCTTAGCCTGCTGGCAAAGATTGAGCCTTTTCTTACACGAGGCAACTTTGAAACCGCGGTTTAGTTTTAAGTCATGGTAATGCACTAAATAATGATTAAAGTGGTTTCAAATGAATAAGCTCATGTCTAAATCGGCGTGCTTTCAGCGCTAAAGTATACTGAGATGGGGGAAATGCTAACATGCTAACAGTTGGTATTTTAACTTGTAACAATTATTGAGGATTTTTTTTTTCACCGTAGCCAGCGAGCAAAGATGAAGCCTATTCTTACACGGCGGAACTTTGAAACTGGGGTTTAGTTTTAACTTATAGGTTTTCCCTTTGTTGTTATTTTGAAATTGTTACGTTCATCTGTCTTAAGTTGCATGTTTCATTTTTATGTATGGACAGCCCTTTGTTTCAGTTGCGGTTGTTTCTCAAGTACTCTATAAATAAGTGGGTTGAGTTGAAAGTTGAGAAATTTACACCAAGCCCTGTAGTCTTTCTTTTAAGAATTGATACAAATGCGAACATGCTAATGCTAAACTTCGAGCAGGTAGCAACCTAAGTAAAGATAATGTAACACTGTTACAGATATAACACAAAGGCAGATTAATGAGGAATTTACATTGTGCACTTTGGGTGGGTACGTTTGCAAATCAGAATCAGAAATTTAGATCATGAAAGTCACTCGAGGAAAGATGCCGTGAAAACAGAAATTTCACAGAATTCCTTTTCAATTGGTACTATTTCAAATGAGACTTAAAAAATGTTAACCTGCCAACAAAAAGACAATCTAACAAACACAAGACAAAAAAAAAAACATTTAAATCACACTATGGATAGCTGAAATGCAGATTTTTAAGGAGTTCAAGAAAGAAGAAGGAAATTCTAACATATAGCAAGGTGGCAATCCAAGCAGTTTCATAAAACCACACTGACGTGAACAATGAGAAGCACCCGCTCTCTCCGCGGATTACAACAAATCCATCTCATGTTTCATCCGCACGTGTTTTTTTTTCTCTCTCTCGCCTTATGCCCATCCCCCTTTTCCAAGGAGGAGTACCCCGTTGAAAAATGGATGTTTCTTCGCTCCCCTTTCACACCACCCTGGTTCTCTTCATTATTGTTGGACGTAATCTTGGGGACGAGCGGGAAATTAGGAGGAAATTACGTGATGACGGGTAATCAAATGGGGAACAATTTCAATCCAAAAATACAAACACAACAGATGAATTATAGCATTGCTTTTTGTTCTCTTAACGTCTACATTAATCATAAACCAGCCTAATTTGGATTTCATTAGATTGATGAAGGCTCCGGTGGCAAAAATGAGATGTTTTGCTGACCCCTTCTGTCTTAAAAAGGGATTTCAATAAACTCCGTGAAAGAGGGACAATTTGAACTTGTTACGGCATGTTTGAGCTGTGCTTGTTTTTGAAAGCACTCGAGTTGCCGTCGAGTTGCATCACATGCTATGTCAAACGACCGGGCAGTGACCGGAGGCCAAAAGGGGCATCTTAAATGTCGAATTTTACTTTTCTGAAGACATCTCTGGTACAGACGAGCATAAACAGACACCTGGCTGCACACTAATTAACTTTTTTTTTTTTTTTATTAGTATTGAAATCAACTGGTTAGAGGAGGTTTAATGAATAATATTTATTGCTTTTTTCCCAAGCATTGTTAAAATCAATGACAGTCATTTGAATAAAACTCTCACAATCGAGTGTAAACACATGATGGCTTGCAATGTGTATGCAAATAAGCAGGTTGGAAAAAAAAGGCAAAGAGGCACTACAGTAGATGCCTGAGATTGTAGACTGCGCAGTGAGTATTCTCACTGAGCGTCCACATTCGAAGAACTAATAAAAGTCTTTGGAAGTAAAACGTGCAAATTAGCATATGCAGCAATAAAGAAGTGCCAGTGATCCATGTTTTTTTCTTTTTTTGCTATTCTCGGTTGGCTCGGCTGATTATTCTTGGCTTGTCGTAGCATCAAGAGTCTATAAGGCATACTCAGTGAGTCGCACCTCTATGTCAGGTAGTTTCTCTGTGCCGCCGTCCTCCTTATTCTGACCGACAACTTGGACCTGCTCGCAAATCTGGTGCTTCGAGTCCAATTCAGGAGATCTTACGGGGATGGATAAGGAATCTGGAAATAAAGTCAGCAGTCTTTTTTTAATTGATTTCAAAGTTTTGTTCCAATTTCTGTACATATTTATCCATATTATTTACTTTATTTCTAATTTGATTTTATTGTAGATAAAAATAACACCTATTCATACTGTTAGTATGAGAAATTGCCCAATATTAATTACAACCCCAAAACCACTGATTTATTATTATTGTAGTTGTCAGGACTAAATCAATAAATCCAGAAACATGTTACATGCCAGCAACAGAATAATACGGATTTTTTTTCAATTTGGAGTACAATTAACATGTGATCAAACTACAATGCCAGGCACTCACCAACGTCACACTGATCATCCGCACCGTCGCCGTGGTTGGCCGACACAGAGCTGCAGTTTGTGTCCTTGGTCAATACCGTATTGGGCTGATGCGTATCCAGTGCCTCTATATGGTGGAGATCAAACAAACAAGTAAATGCGGTGTTGTCGTCCAATGAAAACTGAGCCTTCAAGCGAACCATTCTGCACTTCTATCCTGGTACATAAGACTGAGATACATTTACATAATATACTTCCTGTACTATAATATACATAGACATATAAGATATGATAAGATAACCTTTATTTGTCCCACATTGGGGAAATTTGCAGTCTACAGCATATACAGTGTATATACTGTGTGTGTGTGTGTGTGTGTGTGTGTGTGTGTGTGTGTGTGTGTGTGTGTATGTATTTATATATATATACACACACGCGCACACACACACACACACACACACACGCACACACGTATGTATGTGTATGTATAAACACACACACACACACACACACACACACACACACACACACACACACACACACACACACACTATAATTACTGTCCTGTCATTCTTGATCGTTGGGGTATTTTGAACATAACGTGCTAAGACAAAGATTTAAGACAATTTTAAATTCTGAAAAAAAACGCATAAATGTTCTTTAAAGTGAGTATTCAAGCTTACCAGAGTCTACAGTTTGCGTGTTTCCACACTGATGCTGCTCGGAAAGGCTACTTCCACTCAGCAAAAGACCCTGCGAATATAACACACATTTACATTTACTTAAAAGCACACCCACACCTGATTCAAATTGAGGCATACCTGCTTGTCGTCTGTTTCAGGAGGCGGGACGCTGGCTGGAAGTGAACGGATCGGGATACGGTGCAAATAGCCGTAGCCGATACCACAGCCTAAGCTAAGACATCAAAAAATATATATCTGAGCTCCACAATGTTTATTAATATATACAGCTACAATGATCCCCGTTTATTGCTTGGATAGTTCCGGATCCACACGCAATTGGTGAATCTCTTACTTGGCTATGCTCATTTGTGTTTGTGTTGTACTGTTCTCATGGTGTTCAATAAACTGATAAAAAGTACATGACTGTAGCTCTCCTTCCCCACACGGGAGGGTATTATGGATTGTTGAAAAAAAATCTGCAACATAAGTGATACACAAACGGTGAGCCACGACTTTACGAGGAACAGTGTGTCACTCTGTTTTTGCGATTTTAGATTTTTTTTCCACATGACTCCCCATCCTTTCCCCAGGTACAGCAGTCCACTGTTTTTGAGCTATGTCTAAAGCAACAAAAGCACAGAATTACTTTGGCACCATCTTGTGGCATCTTGATGTCAAGAAACTATGCTGAAGTGAGTTGAGAAGTTTTATTTCGATAAATATAGTGCTTTGTTACCCACATGTGGCATCTTTGTTTCGGGGGAACTATGTGGAAGTGAGTTCACGATACCTTCCTTCTCCTCCCCAAGCTCCATTGGGCATCACTACCACTTCTCTGCAGCGCTCACTCTCTGTGTTGTACACCAGCAGCTTGAGCCGTTTGCCCTCGTTGGCTTCGATTAGGGAAAAGAAGTCATCTGACTGCAAAGAAAGAAAGAAAAAAAAACTTTCTTGGCCAAAGAATTAGGTTTTCACTGCAGACAGAAATAGACGTACGCTCTGCAACAGCTGGTCAGCTCCCACGATGAAGTCGACATGGGCAAGCAGACCTGCGGAGGCTGCGGGGGAGTTGGCCTCGACGTCCTGGCAAAAGGAAAACAATAAAAGAGGTTATTTTTGGCATTCCAAAGGGAAGGAATAGGTTTGTCTTGTTTAAAATGTTGATTTTTGAGGACAAAAAGAGAAATTGTGTCATATGTAGTAAAGAGTGGACTTTTAAAAAAAATTGGCACGAATATATTTGGTATACTTTACCACTCATCTTCCTAATAATGTGCTTGGAAAAGCACTTTGCACATTTACAAACATTATTGTGAAAGGAGACAATGTATTTTTAGTTCTTACAATTTAAAAAAGTTTGCCATTGCCGGATGTCTTCAGAAATGTGTGACATGCTTCGGTCAAAATTGCCCAAGGATCAGCCATGTTTCAGGTCATTTTCACTTGAAAGTGACTCTGGGTCTTTAGCTAGCCAGTCTGAATGAAGTCATGGGTAGAGAAAATTACCATATTGGCCAGAATATAAGACGGCCCTGATTATAAGATGACCCCCTCTAGTCTTTTTCAATACTCAAGTTTGAAAAAAAGGCTTTTTGAACACCAAATAAATTTTTATACAGAACATAATTACAGTACATCTGAAACAAATGATTCTAACAATATATTTGAGAGAAAAAGCATGTTATTTTGCCTCATTCAAATCTTAATATCTGAACATTTAAATATGTAAACTAAAGTGCAATCACATTCGTAAATAAATGGCTTCTGGTTTTTGAAATGTAAATGACATCATAACTTCTCCTCAGCTGCCGGTTAACCTGGCCGATCTTCGACCCACTTTTCTCCAGATTGTCGCTACGTTTCTCCATTTTCTGTTATCTCTTCTATTATTTTCTTCTCTTTTCCTTCTTACCGCTATTTTTTACTTTTCTTCTACGTGCTACCGCTATTTTTAGTTTTATTCTTCGTGACAGGGGTTCACTTTGGCCTGGGGAGTCAAGTTCAGCATTTGCTTCAATGATATCTGGCGCTATCTAGCGTCGTGAATGGGTATAATGTCTAGACCCTGAATATAAGACGACACCCACTTTTTCAGTCTTATTTCAATGCAAAAAACACCGTCTTATATTCGGGCCAATACGGTATATAAAGTAACACAACTGTTAGGTAAAAGTAGGGCAGAAGTTTAGAAAATGTCACTCACATGCACATTTTCAGATAGAACAAAATATTCAATTAGTTGTTGGGCAGGCACTCACCCACAACCATTTGTACAAAAGCACTTAATAAATTTCCATAATATGTCCCCCAAAAAAAGATGACATCGCCTACATGTATTTTTGATGGCTACATTGTTGGGAAAAAAAATTAAATGAAATAATAAGAAGGAAAGCAAGAAAGAAAAAAAAGCTTGGTTTGTTTGCTCCTTGCTTACCAGGACATGCCAGACATTTTCAGCAGCCCCCTCAAAGCTACAGAAGCGGACACTAGCCCCCAGCAGGCCCTGACCGCCCCACATGTTGCCGGGTGTCACCTCGAGCTCCCTCACCCGCTGTGACTTGATGTTGTACACTTGCAGCTTCACCGCCTTCTCCGCATTGGCCTTCAACAAGTCTTTCAGCAGGTTGCCTTCTTTACTCTGCAGAAAAACAGAGATGTTACAACGCAACTGCAACCAACCACAACATATGGTTTGCAACTTCAATGAGTTTGTTTACATACAAGTCTTGTGTTTCCAATGGAAATGATGAAGTCAAAGAATGGCTCCAAACCAGCCTTAAAAGCTGGGGAACTATCTTGTATCTGGAGATGGAAAAATAAATTCATTTTGAAAATAAATTGATATTTTTTTTATTATTATTTGCACCCACACAAAATATAAATATACTGTAACAACCCTTCAGTTATGTTGCAGCAGGTCAAATTGATATTGTTTATTTTTTTTCAGTTTTTCAAGTTAAAAATGTTTTAACTGAAAATTATTAACAATTAAGACCACACATTTACTTTCTTCCTGTTATTAAATATTTCTTTCATTATTCTTAATGCATATATATGTATATATATATATATAGAGAGAGAGAGAGAGAGAGAGAGAGAGAGAGAGAGAGAGAGATGGATAGATGGATGGATAGATAGATAGATATATCTCCATCCATCCATTTTCCGATCTTCTTTATCCTCACAAAGGTCGCGGGGGGGGGGGGCGGCCCCGCCCATGTTTTTCGAATGTGGGAGGAAACCGGAGGACCCGGAGAACACCCACTCAGGCCTGGGGAGAACATGCAAACTCCACACAGGAAGGCCGGACCCAGGATCAAACCCATTATCATAATGAAAGCATTTTGGGCATTAAACTTTAGGGCAGTGGAAGACGTTTTATTCCCAATTCTGCAAGAATACTTGTTCCTCGATTTTTAAACTGAGGGTTAAACGTCTGAATGGTTTGGCCGCATGCCAAATGCCACCTCATCGCAGGTTGATATTATGACACACCTGGAGAAAATTTTCATTGGTAATGGATCAACATGTCAACAAAAGCGGGATTTAGAATTCAGAGTTCTAAATTTAAGCAAATCAGTTCAGCGGCACTTTAAATAGGTGACGAGCATGAACAGTGTTCAAATTGACAACTGCGGGTCGTACTACTAGTAGGAGTACTACTTCAGCTAAATTAGCACATACCCCGTGAACATGATAGCCACTCGTAGCTTCTCCACCAAACAAAAACGAACCTTGGACTAAGCCCATAGCTTCTAGTTGACTGCTACAATAATTTCGCAGAGATAAAATCACATTTGCATTTGGAGTTACGAGACGAGAAGCTAGAATGGCTACCTCACGCTCGAGGCGGCGGTGACCGGCGTTTGAAAAGCAGCAAGGCATAAGTGGTAAATAGAGATGCTAGAGAGGATCGAAAGGTAGTGCGTTGGATGGGCGCGCAATCAGCACTCTGGGATCGTTTGGTTTAGTCTGTGACGTGCGTTGCTAAGCACCTGCCTGGCAATCAACGCTCGTGTGTTTATTCCTTGTACTGTACTTTATTTAGGTACGATACGAGTACCACTACTACTGCAGTATTACTAATACAACTACGACGACGAAGAAGAATACATTCCCAAGAAAATAAATAAAACTTTTCCAAAATGAAACAAACATCGTGCACCAAATAAAGTGCAATATAAACGTCTGTGTTATTTAATTTGTCACTTGAGTGAAAATAAAAACACAAATAATAAGACAAGGAAACACAATGGAAACTAAGACAATTCATCAAAATGTACACAGTCCCTACTTTTGTTTGGATCGAAACCGCTGTAAATGTCAAGTTTAGCCACGGAGAACTTTTTTTTTTTACTCCGAACATCAATTTTGCAAAATTTGACCTTGCAGCTCAATATCAAAGTGGGAATTTTTAGATGTGGGAATCATGCTGTTTGCAGATGTTTTAGTTGACTTTGAATAGAACGGCACCTGCTCCTTTCCCACCGACGACAACAGGTCCCGCTCGCATAAATAATATAAAAATAAAACATAACTAAGCAACATTTAGGATATTTGTGAAATACATTATCGGTACATGAATTTTCTAATAATTTTCAGTATCATTATTATTACAACATCATGACATGTTGGTCTAACTTTCTTTAAAACTTAAAAAAAAAAAGTGTTTGCACATTGGCAAAGAACACCGGAGTTATCTAACTGAAGGTCCCACTAATGTGATATAAAATGATGAAACCCCATTCTGCATTCATTCTTCCAACATGATTTGGCTTGCGACTATCCTGTGCTGTTTCGGTAAGACATTCTGCTTTTTCCGATGCAACAGAATTGTAAGATTACATGAACATGTTTAATGGTTTTAATACCATATTTCAATAGGGCTGATTGGTGCTGAGGTACCATTCAACCACTATGTGAGCAACCAGAGAGTCATCGGGGGCAGTAATGCCAAACCGAATACCTGGAAATGGCAGGTAAGCCCTAGAAATAGTTTTAAAAAACATCAGATTCTCCATTTAACGACTTTTCTTTTATTCCAGGCCTCGCTCCAGCTTGATTCATACAACGAAGGATCTTTTAGTCACATATGTGGAGGCTCCATCATCGATGCCTTTTACATTTTGACGGCAGCTCACTGTATCCTCAGGTCTGGCTTTAGCTTCAAGAAAACAAATGCTCGAAATATACATTGCTTACTTAAAAGAAATAAAACGGTCCCTAACTGTTATGGTTGTTGTAAACTCAAAGTAAACTCAACTCCATCCATTTTTTTTTACTGGGTTGAGGTCTGGAGTGGAGCCACTCCATGACCTTAACACGTTTCTTCTTGAGCCACTCATTGATCCCCGGGAAGTAAATTTCTTATGATGGGTTTGCACATTGCATCTACCATCTTGAACAAGGGATGTACAATTTTGTCACTAACATATTTTTGACGTCTCCCTCCATGATGGGATGGAGATTAAACAACAAGTAATTGATTTTAGATGAAGATAGTTGGTCATTTGTTGATCGTGCACATCCGTGTGCATCATGGCCACCGGGCAATGAATAATGGTGTTGTTGTTTCCGTGGCAGTATGGATGCCAGTCAGTACCGCGTGGTAGTCGGAGAATACAACCTCTTCGAGAAAGATGGCAGTGAGCAGTTCATCTCGGTTGAGAAGATTCACGTCCACCCCGAGTGGACAGGCAACCTTGGCATAGGGTAAAGTTCAAACCCCTCCAGTTGCATCAGTCACCTAGTGAGTCATTTTAATGTACATATTGTGTGTGTGTGTGTGTGTGTGTGTGTGTGTGTGTGTGTGTGTGTGTGTGTGTGTGTGTGTGTGTGTGTGTGTGTGTTTCTCGATTAGAAATGACATTGCTCTCCTGAGGCTGTCTCAGGCTGTTTATGATAACGGATTTGTCGCAATCGGCAACCTGCCCAGGCCAGGTGAAATGCTGCCACATGACTTCACCTGTTTCATCACCGGCTGGGGGATCATGGACTGTAAGTCGAGTCGAGTTGAGTAGACAAGGGCAAAGTACAGTAGAGTAGAGCAAAATATAGTACAGCATGGTTAAAAAAAAAAAAAAAGTTAAAAAAATAGAATCTGGTCAGGAAGCTGTTTTCCACGTGAAATGCATGTCATTCTGTCCAAATACTTCCAAACACTAATGACATTGACTCGTGCGTTTGACCAGACGAAGCATCAAGCATCACGCCAGACATCCTGCAGGTGGCCCCCATCAAAGTGGTGGAGCACTCGGTTTGTTCCCAACCGGAGTGGTGGGGGAACATCGCTCTGAGGAGCATGGTGTGCGCCGGAGGGGATGGAGTCATCTCAGGCTGTCAGGTACAAATACATGCGCCTTCCGCAAGCCACCAGTCTTCTTTAAAACCACTTATTGTGGCATGATTGTGTGTATTCTCACCAGGGCGACTCTGGAGGACCTCTAAACTGCTTCACTGACGATGAGTGGAGGGTCCATGGGGTGGTCAGTTACGGTCCGTCAGGCAGGTGCAACCAAGTTTCCAAACCCACAGTCTTCACCCGAGTCTCTTCTTTCCAAGACTGGATTTATTCCGTAAGCACCCACGTATACGTACACGTCATTTGTCAACGGAGCCCCTAAGTAATTTCCTCAGAAATATTGCAAGATAACGAAAAGTTTTTTTGGTTTTTTTTTTTTTTTTTAATTGTAAGGGGACGCTCTTTTTTTAATGCGTTTTTTTGTACTTCCGGGTCAGGTTAGCTAATGTAGGCTCTCGTTCGCGGCTGATTGGGTGACGGACACTACTTCGGGGAAGGGGAGAATTGTGGAGTAGGACTCGGAAACTGTATTTAAGCTCAAGAACAGATTTAATGTCTTTGTATTTCAAGGCAATTTCAAAGTAAAATTCCGTTAAATTCCTATCCATGTTTGGTTTTTCAGTTACCCGGGAGATGACCCGGAAGTACATCAACACGTATTAAATAAAAAGCACCCCTTGCAAAAAAAAAAAAAAAAAAAAAAAAAAGTTTGCGTTTTTTTTTTTTTTTTTTTTTAACAAACCCCCCAAAATCCTTCAGAAAACGACATACCTGTCAACCTTTCGGAGCGCCAACCCATATAAACTACCAAAAAAATCCTTATAAAGAGCAAAAAATCCTTATAACATACCAAAGCATTTTATATGTCAAAATAAAGGCAGAAAAAATCCCACGAAATTTTTAATGATATTTATTGCAGAAGAAATGAGTAAAAACAACGAGACAAAATATTTGAAACACTAGAGAAAAAGAGGGAAACTTTTTTTTTTTTGTGAATATCCAAATTTCTGGGTGCTGAAATGCAAATATGCATTGAG